GCTAAACCAGGCACTTGTTTCTAAAAATGAAAAAAGTGCCCTTTTTGGAAGATGATTTATAGTGGCCACTCTATCCAGAGCGCAGGCATCACCTTGCCATGGAGCCAGGGAGGGCAATCAAATCTGAACATCTGCACGTCTTTGCTAAGGGGCTGAGCATTTGTTTGACACTAGAGTAGTTTCTATTATTGCAAACAGACTAAGTTTACCAGCTCATGCTAAACGCAGTTCAGTTTGCTTTTCCTATTACCCAGTGGGCATGGGCTCGTGAGGAAAACTAGAACAGCGAAGGAGAGGCAGAGTCGACATCTGTGCCCGTCTGGGGGCAGGGTGAGTGGTTTGTGCACATGCTGTAGTTGGATTCTGACTTTTGAGAGGTTGCTTACTCATTTCTTCCAGTAGACATAAATCATAGTATTTGTTTGCTGGAGCATGAGCTGCTTTATTTCTATTTTCAGAGTTTCGCTTTGGGTCCACAATGGGGCCTAAAGCCAGTGCTGGAGGTTCCCAGCCAATGAGAGTGCAGCGGAGCATGGCTGTCCTGCAGATGGTGACAGGTGGGGACTCTGCCCCTTCACTCTTGGAGGTCAGGTAGAGCTAAGTGGCTGCAGCTCCCTAAGCAGTCAGTCCTTTTTTAAAAAAGTAAGAACAATGGCCTTCATTTGTTAAACTCTTTTTTTTTTTTTTTTTTTTTTTTTTTTTGTAACTCAAGAAAGGATCATTGTGGCGCTGAGCCTCCAGTGCCACCAGACTCAGGGTTGCCAGGTAGGCAGGGTCACAGCTGGGCACCCCGTTGTGCTGCTCCAGGCACCGGCCCCGTGTCCTGGCCTTGGGGTTGAGTTTCGGGGTTGGCTGCATGTGTTGGTGTGATTTCAGGGCATACACATGGAACGTGCTGCCCAGGAGCTGGGCCCAGGGAAGCCACGTGTCTCAGCCCTGCGGAGTTGTCCTGGCGTGGTGCACGACCTGGCTGGTGACTTGGAGAGCAAACAGTACCCCCCACCTCAAGGGTGTCTGCGGGCGCTAGGCCTCACATTCGGATTCTTTGGCATCTCTCAAGCTGAGCATCACCGGACCCAGACCCGTCACAGCCATGCTGAGCTTGCCCGTGGGGGAAAGCATGGGGCTTTCTGGGGCAGGAAGCAGGGGAGGAGGCTCTCAGAACAGCAGGAGATGGGAGCGCGCTGTCCCGGGACTGTTCTCCGCCTCCCTCTGCCGTCCAGGCGCCCGCTGCCAAGTCCCTTCTGCCAGGCTCCTGATGCTCCCCGGGCCGCGTAGACCAGGGCTGCCCAGGAGCTTGACCACATCAGCCTGCCGCTTTTCCTCAAACGTCACCCTTGCCAGGGATGCCCCCGCCCCTGCTTCTCGGCTTCTTGGGATAGACATCCTTCCTTAGGTCCAGTAATTCCAGTGATTCCAATAAAAAACACCGCGAGTTTCTTGTGCGCCCTAAGCGGGAGCGGGGGGATTGCAGTGTGAGAGGCGTCCTCCTGCGGCCTAGGTAGGAGAATCCGTCTCCAGGAGCCTCCGCGCTGACCCCTGCGGCTGGCCGAATGTGTCATTTGTTGTATGTGCCCTGACATGGAGAAGATTGGAAAGCACTCCCTAGTACTATTTCACACCAAATGGCATTGTGGACTGCAAGCTCAAAAGCACAGGCAACAAAACCGAAAACGGACAAATGGGACTTGTTAAACTAAAGAGCTTCTGTACAGCAAAAAAAAAAATAATCAACAGAGTGAGCAGACAACCAACAGAATGGGAGATAATATTTGCAAACTATTCATCCAACAGGGAACTCATATCCAGACTTCACAAGGAGCTCAAACAGCTCAACAACAACAAAGACAAATAATCCCATTTCGATGTACTTTTTAAAGTAGGCAAAAAAAAAAAAAAAAAAAAGGAATAGACCTTTTTCAAAAGAAGACCTACAGATGTCCTACAGGTATATGAAAAGATGCTCAACATCACTAATCATCAGAGAAATGCAAATCCAGACCACAATGAGAGCATCTTACCCTGCCAGAATAGCTATTATTAAAAAGACAGAAAATCACAGATGTTGGCAAGGATGTAGAGCCAAAGAACTCATTCACTATTCGTGGGAATGTAAATTAGTGCAACCTCCGTGGAAAACAGTATGGAGATTTTTCAGACTTAAAAATCGAGCTATCATTTGATCCAGCAACTCCACTATTGGTTATCTACACAAAAGAAAAACAATCAATTTATCAAAAAGATACCTTCACTCATATATTTATTGTAGCACCAGTGACAGTAGTAAAGCTATAGAGCCAACCTAAGTGTCCATCAATGGAAGAAGAAAATCCACTAGATAAAGAAAAAGTGTTATTTACATAATAGAATACTATTTGGCCATCAAAAAGAATGACATCATGTCTTTTGCAGCAACATGGGTGAAACTGGTGGTCATCATCTTAAGTGAAACAAGCCAGATACAGAAAGTCAGATAACTCATGTTTTCATTCATAAGTGAGTGCTAAAAATTGTGTCCACATGTATGTAGAGAGTGGAATGATAGACAATAGGGCCTCAGAAGAGTGAGGGGGCAGGAGACGGGTAGATAACAAGAAATTGCCTTATGGATGCAATGTACATTATTTGGGTGATGGGTACCCTAAAGCCCTGACTTGGCCACTAGGCAATCTATGCATATAACAAAATGGCACTTGTACACCATACATTTATACACATTTCTTTAAAAAGGAAAAGGAATACATCCCCCCAAAAATGAGATTGTGTCAACTGTTACTCTGTAGGTTAGGGCGTCAGTAGAAGCAATATTAGACCTAAACCGAATAGCATTCTGATTCACATGTTCATGACTTCATGGCAGCAGGTAGACCTCAGACCCTCCTCCAGCCCTGTCAGATAGATGCCCACAAAGGTAAGAATAAGGGAAGAACCAGGGTCTATAGAAGCTGGCAGTTGGGGAAGCCTTACAATAGTCGACTATTCCCCAATGCATTGCTTTTCGCAGGAGGAAGATGTACGTGAGTCGAGTCACCTAAAGTTTAGTATTGGGAGAAGAAAAGGGGAATTAACATTTATGAAGAACCAAAAAATAGATGCTATGAGTGTTCTGTATGCTAGACTCTCAATTTAATCTTTCAGATACTCTGTGATGTCCCATGTTTCCTCAGATCTGAGACATGTTCCTCACCAACCCACAGTTTGACATCTCTGAAACTGAGGACATGTGCCCTACAATCAATATTTGTCAAGTAACCATCATGACACAGTTGTGACTGCCCAGAGATGCTAACATGATTGTAAACATGATTATATAATTAAGAATCTAATTAAGTCCAAAAGAGAACTTTAAGCAAGGTTAAAATAAAAATTCTAAGTAATGAGAAACCATTGTATTATAATTTAGTTGGCACTGGTACACAAGCAAGTCAAATAAATGCAAATCCAAATTAAAAATCCAAGTAAAAGTGCCAGCAGCAAAACTTACAGTGACTAGATAGAAAGTCCTAGCAGTAATTACACAACACACTTTTAGGCCATAGGAACCAAATGGCTGTGAGGAGGAGGCCAGGGAAGTGATGAACCAGTTGTGCTCAGCAACATTTCTGAAGGGAGAGACAAAAGTTGGCTGATTTTCCATCATTGTTCTGCCAGTTTAAGAGGCAGAACCATAAGTTTTGGTTTCTCAATGCATTATTTTTAAAATGCTGCATCAGCAAAGTTTTTGATAACAATTTTAGGAAAAATTAGCCAAAACTTAGAAATAAGGCAGAGGGAGGGCCACACCTCCTCTCAATGTCTGATAGACCACTTGTCCTCTAATGGAATGCACTGCTTTTGTTTAATTGTTTGTTTGTTTGTTTTGAGATGGATTCTCACTCTGTTGCCCAGACTGGAGTGCGATCTCAGCTCATTGCAACCTCTGCCTCCCAGGTTTAAGCAATTCTCCTGCCTCAGCCTCCCAAGTTGCTGGGATTACAGGCATATGCCACCATGCCTGGTTAATTTTTGTATTTTTAGTAGAGATGGGGTTTCACCATGTTGGCCAGGCTGGTCTTGAACTCCTGACTTCAGGTGATCCGCCCGCCTCGGCCTCCCACAGTGCTTTGGAAGTCTTATGAGTCTTATGATTCTAATGTTACATGTTTTTTAGTTATTTACATTTATGATATTAAATTGAAAGGATGTTTTCAAAATTTGAAAACAGTATGTGGTCATTTCAGCAACTTAACATGCTGCTTTATTTTTATGTTTATTTTATATGATTTTTAAAAGTTATCTAAGTATTTGGGGAAACTTCTCAGTCAGATACCCTTGAAAAGATCTGAATATAATAAATCTGTAAAGGAAATGTCAATATTTGAAGGGATCCCATAGCAAATTTAATTAGCCCCTTAAATATTGTAAGTGTGCTTTTTCCATTTTTTATATTCAGGTTTCTTTCTGAATATTTTCATTTCTGATCGACAGACTTTCCCAAATACTACACTTAGTGCATGTTGAGCATACAGTTTCCTAATAAATAAAGTAATAAAGTTTAGAAGCTGAACTTTAAAAACTTAAGAATTAGCTTCAATATATTGAATATTAATTTTTAAAATCAAAATAGTCCCTGAATAATCTTTTCTACCTAAAAGGACTCCAAGAATCACAGACACCCACTTTCAATTTTGGGTGCAGCAGGCAGAGGCCAGACCAGCTCATCACCGCTGACCCTTTCAGAGCCTCAGTGGGTAAAATGAGTGCGTCCTCATAATGAGAGCTGCTATATTTGGGATCCTCTCCTTGCTCCTCCATTCATGATCTTACTTTCCTTTCAGTCCTAAAGATTCAAACACGTGGTGTCAGTGTTGCTCTAAAGCACAGACTGATTCCCAGGGTCAGGCTCTAAATTGTTTAACTAAATCCATTGACAAATCACCCAGAAAAGCTTTTAATATGTTTGCTGGCTTAACCATAAAAGCAAAGCAAATTGTTCTTGAGATCTTCAAAGCAGGCGTGCAGGTTTCACCAGTTCTTCCGCTTGCCCTGGGCAGGTCTGCAAGTCTGCTGGAACCTGGCACACAGCGGCCCTCCTGCCCAGCCACCCAGTTCCTGAGCTTCCTCTCCATGCAAGAGTCCACTTGTAAAACAAACAACAGGCTTGGAATTGTTCCTCCCCTTCACCACCAGTAAGTATTTCACGCAGGTAGAAAAGCCGGAGGAGGAAAAGGTATTGAAACACAGTAGAAAAAAAAAAAGAACGAATGGAAATAATGAGTTGAACTCAGAGGCTCCCAGCTTCAGGAATCATGTCTGACACTTGGCATTTGGCTCCTGCAGCAGAAACGCATCTTCCTTGTTTCTCTCCATTCAGTTCTTCCACTTCTGGATCCTCAAACTCATGCCGGGATTCGAACGCGTTGGGTGGTTGGTTTCGTTGCTTATTTTAATTTTTTAAACTTTTTAACTTATTTAAATTTTTAATTTTAATTTTTTTAAACCATAACTGCCTTGTGCTTAGAAGCCTGATCATTTTTCAGCTGTATTTACAGATCTCGCCCTCTCCCCAGCCTCTCGTCTTTCTGATCTCCTACCCTCCACCGCATGGGAGGGCACAGATTCCCTTGGGCCCCAGCCCTGCTGCAGCAGGTGGTTAGACAAAACCACATTGTCCTTTACAAACGCAGAAATCAAGCTCGCTGTCTCTCTCCCCCCTTTACCCACCCACCCCCTTTTTCTGTTCTCTCTCCTTCTCTCTGTTCCTTTTCCATAATGTCAAATCTATTCCACTAAGGGGTTGCTCTTTGACTAATTCCGCCACTTAATTTTCTAACATTCATTCTTGACTTTCAAGGAGGAAACTTCCATTTTGAGTGACATTTCTTGTGACTGAATGAATGTGGACCCGTTTCTCAATACGTCAGAGGAGAGGGTATTCACAACCTAGCCTTGCTCAGGAGGTGGAGCGGGGCTTTTTACTCCATGGAGGAATGAAGAGTTGAGCCTGGAGTGCACACCACTGTCCAGCAAACCAGAAGGCCTCTGCAGTCTGCACGTTCCGCTCTCTGGTCTGGAAAGATCTCCCAGCAGGTGGAGGCCGTTGTCCTTTCCCGACCCGGTCCCTGCTCAAGCAGTTAGAGGGCGAGGCCCAGACCTCCTGCAGACTCCAGACTATCAGTCCCTGGGATCAGACCCTGGGCACAGCTGGGCCTACTCCAGAAGGGTGTGGAAGGAGGAGAGGCGCAGATGGGATTTGTCAAAGGCAGCAACACCCTTAGCACTTTGCCTCCATCCTTGATCCAGCCATCCGGCCCGGCTTTCTTCTCAATTTCTTTGGCCCTCAGTTTTCTGTTGTCTCTGCACAATGGTGACTTTAGTCACCAACATTGCTGACTTCGGTATTACTGAACCTTGAGCCTTTGGGCCAGCATGCTCTGCTTTTGGAATCTGCCATCTCTGCCCTGGACCCTGGAGTTGACAGGTGTTTGATGAGGTGCACTCTGTCGCATAATCTGCTTTTTTCTCTTGATCATTATTCTGAACATTTCCTCTCAGTTGTTTACTGGACTTCGAAATATTTTTCTGATGGTTGTGTTGTAATCTATCGAGATCTCCCATAATATATTTAACTAAATACTTTGTAGTTGGACAATTAAGCTATTTCCAAATTTTCACTATACCAAATAATGCCTTGGTAAGTATTAGTGTAGTGAAATCTTCACAGTTACTTTTTAAAACATTTTAAAATTATACATACTGTAAACGAACATGTGTTCTTGATAAAAAACTTACTGAAAACAGGTAAGACGAAAGTCCTCGTTAACCAGCTTCAATCGAGTTGTTACAGCCATCATAGAGACACCCACTATTATTGGTTAATGTGTACCCTTTTTTGAAACATACGTACGTGTATTTTCAGATACCTAAGTGAGATATAGATAGATAGATATGCTGAATCATTTTCATTTGTGACACCGAGTGGTGCACAGATGTTAACATGCTGTACATTCACTTGGCAGTATGTCTTGGAGACATTTCCATGTCAACACACGAAGATCTGCAACTGCTGTGTGGGATTCCATAATAAGGATAAGCCGACGTTTATTGAGCTATTTTCTTATCCCTGGATATTTGGGTCGTATTTAGCTTTTGCTGAGACAGACAATGCTGCATTCAATCTTCACCTTGTGCACGTGTGCAAATGTCTCTCTGGGGAGATTCAGAATGTTAGGTCGTAGAGGAAAAATATTTTGCCCACCAAAGTAGCTGCAAAATAACGCTGTCACCCGAGAGCGGCTGAGGGCACGTATGCCACCACAGCCTCGCCCACGCTTTATATGATCAAACTTTTGATTTTTGCCACTTTGATTAAAAATGGAACCTTGTGTTTTATTTGCATGTTTTTGATTTCTAATGAGGTTAAGCATCTTTTCAGGTATATTGGTCATACATCCTTTTTTCCTTTTGTTGTTGTATTTAATTTTTTTCTGAGACAGAGTCTCGCACTATCGCCCAGACTGGAGCGCAGTGGCGCAGTCTCAGCTCACTGCAACCTCCTTCTTCCAGGTTCAAGCAATTCTCTTGCCTCAGCCTCCTGAGTAACTGGGGTTACAGGCATGTACCACCACACCCGGATAATTTTTGTATTTTTACTAGAGACGGGGTTTTGCCATGTTAGCCAGACTGATCTTGAACTCCTGACCTCAGGTGATCTGCAAGCCTCCCAAAGTGCTGGGATTACAGGCGTGAGCCACTGCACCCAGCCTGGTCATACATTCTTAATCACCGCAGATTACATGCCTGAAAGTTGGGTTGCTGGGTCAAAGGACATGCAGTATATACACAGTAGTCTCCCCTCACCTGCCGTAGGTACATTCCAAGCTCTCCAGTGGATGCTGAAACCACGTAGTTCAGAACCTTCTAGATACTGTCTTTTCCTATGCATATGTACTTATGATCAAGTTTAAGGTATAAATTAGGCGCAGTAGGAGATTACCAACAATAACTAATAATAAAACAGAACAATTATAGCAATATGCTCTAATAAAAGTTATGTGAATATGGGCGCGCTCTCTCTCTCTCTGTCAAAGTACCTTATTGTGTGTAATATTTTTGGACCATAGTTGAACACAGTTATAATATTTTGGACAACATGGTTTCAGGTAACGGAAAAGCAAAACTGCGAAGAAGGGAGAACTACTGTATGTTTTTTACTCCGTGTGTGTGTGCGTGTGTGTGTGTGTGTGTGTGTGCCTACCTAGCTCTACCTATCTTATCTAACTATCTAATCTATTGCTTTTAAGGTGGTATTTTTTCCAAGATGTCTTTCCGTAATAATTAAACCAATTTATACTCTCACTACAGCATATGTAAATGTTTTCTTATACTGTCTACAGAAGAGTTTTACTTTTGTTTTTTCTAGGGCAGATAAACAAATAGAACATCTTCTTGATTTTACATTTCTTTCATTAAGAATAAGACTGGCTACTTTCATATCCTTTTTGGCAGTTCATTTTTTTTCTTTTGATTAACAGCTTATTTTTTATTTCTCCTAATTCTGTGTGTGGTTGTTCACGTTTATTTTTGTTCTTGCCAATCTAAAAACTCTCACACGGGTTAAGAATGTCAGCCTACATCTGAGTGTCAATAAGGTGCAGATAGTTCAGGGAATAATGCCTCACAGTGTCGTGACATGCTGACACAGTGTAATGACGTGCTGCCACAGCGTCATGACGTGGTGCCACAGTATAGTGACGTGCTGCCACAGCGTCGTGACTTGCTGCCACAGCGTAATGACGTGCTGCCACAGCGTAATGACGTGCTGCCACAGCGTCGTGATGTGCTGCCACAGTATAGTGACGTGCTGACACAGTGTAGTGACGTGCTGACACAGTGTAGTGACATGCTGACACAGTGTAGTGACATGCTGCCACAGAAGAGGCCCCCAGGAAAATCCACTTTGGGAACCCCTTAAGCAAATATAACTTTATGGGAAGATTGTCCTTCTTTGGTCTCTGATATGGTTTGGATCTGTGTCTCCACCCAGATTCATTTGAATTGCAATTCCCAGTGTAGCAGATGGGGCCTGGTGGGAGATGATTGGATCATGGGGCAGTTTCTCATGCTTTACCACCAACCCCGTTGGAGCTATCGTCCTGATAGTGAGTTCTCACATGATATGGTTATTTAAAAGTCTGTGGCACCTCTCTGCTCCCTTGGTCCTGCTCCTGCCGTGGAAGACACCTGCTCCCACTTTGCCTTCCACCATGATTGTGAGTTTCCTAAGGCCTCCCCCAGAAGCAGAAGCTGCTATGCTTCCTGTACAGCCTGCAGAACCATGAGCCAATCAAACCTGTTTTAAAGTAAATTCCTCAGTCTCAGGCATTTCTTTCTTTAGAGCAGTGCAAGAATGGACTAACACAATCTGCATGCTGACACCTTGCTTGTAAAGCTGGCTGATGCGGCATTGCAGTGAAGTGGTAGATTTTGAATGTCTGAGTGTGATTAGACTCTAGCTGTGTGTTGTTGAATCATTGGTAGGTGAATTATGCCATCACAGGCCAGAATGTCCGGCCAGCCTCCATAGCAGGACCATCCCAGCTTATAGGAAATGGAAAGGCTCAGAGACTCCAGAGAGGCCCAGCACTGCCCCTGCCATCCACCAGGTGGAATCAGGGCAGTGCACCTCCCACAGTGTGTGTGTGTGTGTGTGTGTGTGTGTGTGTGTGTGGAGGGGAGGGGTGTTGCAGTTGGTCACAGCTGCCCTTTACCTTCTCTTTTGGTCAAGAGTTCTCCCTTTCTCCTTGTTAGAGAAAGTTTGCCTTGGTTTTGCCAGTTTCCTGAAAGTCTGCATTTTCTGGGTGTAAGCTCACTCACTGAGAAGAAGAGAGCCTATCCTTTCACCTCTAGAACAAGAAAGCTAGTGGGTAATAAAATACACATAATGAAAATGGTATGTGCCCTAAACTTCAGGTGAACCAGCAAGAGCGTTTTACAGCACACACTCTGACCTAGAATCATTCACACGGGTCCAAATCCCAGCTTCACTCTCATTGCTGGACATCGGGCTTGATGTTCCAAATTTTAGCTCTTCTCATCTGTAAAACGGCAATTATATTAGTACCTATGTTTAAGGCAGTTGTGAGCATTCACTGAATTTTGGTCCACCTGTGGATGCCGGCACAGCAGGCATTTTATGCATAATGTCTCTAATCATTTTTTCTCCATCTCAGAATAGAGACAGATCTCTGCGGGTGGAGGACCCTTACCAAAGTAGTTGGAGGGGATGCCTTAGGTCACACGACTTTCTTCTAAAAGACTCTGGTTATATAGGAGTCCTATATGGCTAAAAGGACTTCTCTTGTTTGTCCTGGATGTGACATCAAGTTTAAAAAAAATCTCACTCCCGTTCAGGAGCCTGGCAACCATGCATTACCCAACAACGGTTACCATGGCTGCAAGGAGGAAGCAGACAGCAAGCCCACAGAAGTGTGTATTGAAGAAAGGGAAGTCAATAGCTCCTGGAGTTAACAAGTGACTGTTATTTACGGAAGGAATGGTATTTGCAGATGGGAATGACTGCAAAATGCATAGAAGGACACAGCCATGCCCTTTCCACGGAAGTCACAGAACACACCTCGACACACTGAGAAGACGTCCACGACAGGGAAAGATGACGAAGGTCTCCTTTCTTCCACATTGTAGGAGATTTTCTGCCATAAAGTCATTATATTCTATAGTTGTTTACGTCCTCGGCATTTGGAGATAGCTTTTCTCGTGAAGTGAAGACTGGCTCAGATTGTTTGATTAACTGCAAGAATTGTGGCAATGGGAGGAAGAATTCATGAAGGATGCCTCCCTTACCTGTATAGAGTTGTTTTCATTGATAAATGGTTGTGATCCGTAAAATTGCAGATATCGACATTTATTTAAGGAGAATGAGCTGTATTTGGGCAGATTTGGCTTTGAATTCTGTCTCTACCTCTTAGAGACTATGTGACAATTGTTACTTAATGTCTGAGTCTCAAATTTCTCGTCCTGTAAACTGAACATAACACTTACACTGAATGTCATGCTTACATTACAGGATGTCCATGTTCTTCTAATCGTGCCTTTCTAGTTTCTGTATTCTCTGATGTTTTGACTTCTGGGGTCTTGCTGATCCTGGAGAGACTCCCCCTCCCAGGGCTGGTCAGTTCCTAGTAGTAGTAAGTATGCCTTTTGTATGCAAGCCACCAATCCAAAGCCCATTCCCCCAGTGACCCCCTTTATCTAGCTCTCACTTGCAGAGCCACTATCCCCCTGCCCTAATCACCCCAGGGACAGATATTAAACAACTAGAAATAGCCACGATGCCCTAGACCCCGGTGAAATTACTTAAAATGGATAGTACTACACCTGCTTGCCTGCCCTACATTTCCCCCTCACAATCCATAATAAAGTCTCTTGCCCACATTTTCTTCTCATTCCCTCTGCCTCCCAACTCATCCTGGCGCTTCCCCACGTGGCCCTGCTTGGCATGGTGTGACCTCCGCTTTTGAACTGTGAGTACACACTCTCTACATAATGGCAGTCATCTCTTGACCCATTTCCCTCACCATACCCGAATAATAATAAAACCTACTGTCTCAGCCTATTTGGGCTGCTATAACAAAATACTATAGACTGAGTGGCTTAAACAGTAAGTATTTATTTCTCACACTTCTGGAGGCAGGGGAGTTCACAGTCAAGGCACTGAAGGACTCAGTGTCTGCTGAGAACCTGCTTTCTGGCTCATGGGCAACCAGCTTTTCTCTGTGGCTGAAAGAAGCCAAAGCACTCTCTAAGGTCTCTTTTATAATAGCACTAATCTGTTCACAGGGCCTCCATCCTCGTGATGTAGGTGGAACCCTGGTGAATAACCTCACCTCTGAACGCCATCACATTGGGGGTTAGGACTGTGATACATACTCTTGGAGGAGACACACACATTCAATCCACAACACTCATGATGTAAAAACACATGCCTCAATCTCTGGAACCTGTGAATATTACCCTGTATGGCAAAAGAGACTTCACAGGTGTGAAGAAAACATGAATCTTGAGATGGGAGATTATCTTGGGTTAGCCAGGTGGGCCTGGTGTGATCACGAGGATCCTTAGAAGGGGGAGGCAGGAGATCAGCATGAGTAGCAGAGGAGGGTGAGGCCACAAGCCAAGGAATGCTGATGGCTTCTAGAAGCTGGAAGAGGCGGGGAATGAATTCTCCCCTGGAACCTTCGGAAGGAATCAACACTGCCAACACCTTAATAGTAGTCCTGTAAGGCCTATTTCTGGCACTCTGACCTCCAGAACTGTGATAATAAATGTGTGTTGTTTTGAGCCACTAAATGTGTGATCATCTCTTACAGTAACAATAGGGAACTAATATAAGTTTCAACAAATTATGATTATTTTCACTATCAAGTACAATAATATTCAGAATGTGGAAACACTTTTGAAAAGTTAGTGTCATGTGAAGACCCAAATATGCTGCCTATAAGAAGCATGCTTTAAATACAAGGAAACAAGTAGGTGAAAAGAAAATACATGGGAAATTATATAACCTGAAAATACTAATCAAAAGAAAACTGGAATGACTATTACTACACAAGGCAAATGTCAGAACAAAGATTATTACTAGACATAAAGAAGATCATTTTATAATGATTAAGAGGTCAACTAATCAAGAGGTAATAACAATCATAGATATTTATGCATCTAACATCAGAACTTCAAAATACATGAAACAAAATTAAGAAGACAGCAAAGAGAAATCCACAAGTATTGTCAGAGATGTCTACAACTCTCTATCAACAGTTGATAGAAGAACTAGAAAGAAAATCAGTAAAGATATAGAAGATTTAAATGACAATATCAACCAATTGAACCTAATTGACATTTTTTGAACACTTCACTCAGCAACAACAGAATACATATTCTTTCCAAGTAAACACTGAACTTGTACCAAGATAGATCACATACTGGAACATAAAATAAATCTCAATAAATTTAAAAGTATTAATGTCATACAAAGTATGTTCATTAAACTGAATGGAATATAACTGAATTAGAGGTCAGTATTGGAAATATGTCTAGAAAATCTTCAAATTAATATAAACTAAATAACATACTTCCAAATAACCTACATTCAAGGAAGAAATCAGAAGGAAAATTAGGAGTATTTTAAACAGTATTTAAAACTGAATGAAAATGAAAAGATAACATATTAAAATGTGCTGGATGCTGCAAAAGCAGTACTTAAAGGGAAATGTATAGCACTTAATGCCTATTACAGAATAGAAGAAGGATCTCAAATCAAGAACTTCACTATCTACCTTAAAAAACTAAACAAAGAAAAGCAAATGAAATCCAAAGAAGAAGAAATAACACAATAAAGGTTAGAGTAGAAATCAATGAAATAGAAAAATAAAAACAATAGAGAAAATCAATGAATACAGTATCTGCTTCTTTAAAAAGATGAATGAAATTGATAAATCTCTAGCAAGACTGATCAGGAACAAAAGAAAAGAAATACAAATTACTGATATTAGGAATGATAATTAGATCACTATAGAGTCTACCAATATTAAAAGGGCAATTCAGAAATATTTTGAACAACTTTGTGTCAGTATATTCAACAATTTAGATAAAATTTTAAAATTTCTTGAAAGACACAAACTACCAGAGACCATTCAATAAGTAATAGATAACATTAATGGCCTCCTATCTACTAAAGGAAGTGAATTTGTAATTTAAAAGATATTCGTAAAGATCCAGATCCATAAGATTTCATGGCTTTAGTGGTGAATTCTATCAAATATTTAGGAAAATAAGAATACCAATTTTATCCAAACTCTTCCAAAAATTTACAAAGAATTAAATACTTTCCAGCTTAATTTCTGAGACCAGCACTTCTTTGATGCTAAAACCAGACAAAGACATTACAAGAACACTACAAATATCTCCCATAAGGATTTGTTAAAATCCTTAATAAATTTTAGCAAATCTAATACAATGATTTATGAAAATGATAATACATTGTGACCAAATGTGGTTCATCCTAAGTTGGTTTAACAAACTTGAAAGGTTGGTTTAACATTCAAAAGTCAATTAGTGTAATTAATCACATAAGCAGACTTAAAAAGAAAATATATATGATTATTCAGTAAGTGGAGCAAACGCACTTGACAAAATCTAACATCTATTCCTGGTTAAAAAAAAAAAACCCTTGGCAAATCAGGAATAAAAGAGAAATTTCTCAACTTTATGGATGTCAATTTGATGTGGACATCTTTGAATAACCTACAGCTCACATTTACTTAATGATTAACAACTGAATGTCTTTCATCTAAGTTTAGGAAAAGGAAAGCATGACCACACTCACCATGTCTATGCAACATTGTACTAGAGGTCCTAGCCAGTGCAATAAGGCAAGAAAAGGAAATAAAAGACATACAGACTAGAATGGAAGAAATAAAATCGTCTTTACTCATAGATGACATAATCATCCATGTTGAAAATCTTAAGGAAGCTACAAAAAAAAAAAAAACCACTATAGTGAATACGTAAATTTAGCAAAGTTGCAGGATAAGAAAGCAATATACAAAACAAATTGTATTTTTATGTACTAGCAATGAACTATCTGTAATTGAGGTTTTAAAATGCAATTAAACAGCATCCAAAAATACGAAATACTTAGGGGAAAAATCTGACAAAGGACATGCAAGACCTGTACCTGAAAACTACAGACCATTTCTCAAGGAAATTTAAAAACATGTAAATAAATGAAAGACTGTATCATTTCTTTTTTAGATCAAAGACTTGATTACATGTTTCCCCATACTGATCTATATGTTAATACAATCCCACTTAAAATTGCAGCAGGCTTTTTCATAAAAATTGACAAGCTGATTCTAAAATTTACATGGAAATACAAAGGACTTCAAATATAATAGATACTTTGAAAAAGTACAAAGTTGGTGGACTACATTACTTAATATCAAGATTTGTTTAAAATCTACCATAATGAAGAACGTGTGGTATTGGCATAAAGACAGAAAAATAGATTCATGGAATAAAATAGAAAGTCCATAAATAGTCTCACGTATGGTCAGCTGATCTTTAACAAAGGTGCCAAGGCAACTGACTGGGGAGAGGAAAATCTTTTCAGTGAATGGTAGTGGACAAATTAGCCACATGCCAAAAAAAAAAAAGTGAATCTTGATTTTTACTCATCCCATACATAATAAATTCACTTGAATTGGATTATAGACTAGATAAGAAAAGTAAAAATACAAATTTTCTAGAATTTTACAACTAAATTTCTAGAAGACAGGAGAAAATCTTAATGAGTTTAGGTTTGCAAAGATCTCTTAACTACAACACAAAAAGCATAGAACATACGAGAACAGAAAAGCAATAAATCGGAATTCATCGAAGTCCCCTACACACAACATGGATAAATCTCAAAATAATTATGTTGAGTGAAAAAGGCAGACACAGAAACAGTACATACTGCATGTTTCCATTATATAAAATTCTGTAAAAATGAAAACCAACCAATAGCACAGAAAGCAGATGAGTGGTTGCTCGGGGATGGTAAGTGAATCGTGGAAAGGGAGGACGTTGCAAAGGAGCACTAGGAAACTAGTGATGGGTATGTTTGTTTTATTGATTGCAATGATGTTTTTTTGTTGTTTTTTTGAGACAGAGTCTCACTCTATTGCCCAGGCTGGAGTGCAGCGTGACATGATTTCAGCTCACTGCAACCTCCACCTCCCAGGTTCAAGCAATTCTCCTGCCTTAGCCTCCTGAGTAGCTGGGACTACAGGCGTGTGCCACCACGCCCGGCTAAGTTTTGTACTTTTTCAGTAGAGATGGGGATTCAC